CACAGCACACTTTTGCGAGCTCCCTGACAAATTTAAAAGCACGCCACACGCATACTATAAATGTTTTGTTGGTAACTCCCTCGATACTATAACGTAACATGATAGCGACTCGCAGTCAAAACCACCAACATCTCCCGGGGGTCTCTACTATTAATTCACGAAAGTCATTCAAGAGCACTGTTCGGAGCGCAACGATCCAGTGACTATCGCTTTTTTTATTGTAGTCGCATCCATCGACATTCCACCGCGGCCGGGCGAGATTTCGCCGACGCAGAATTCTCCGGCAGGCACATTATTACGACCCTGCAGCGGCGCCATCTATCGAGCGACCAACGCAGGGTCATAGAAGGCGTTTCTTACGCAGTCCACGCCGCGGTCTCTACACTGTCAGCGGATATGCGCCCTGTAAAACATGCCCGGCGTGGCCGGGTAAAAACTGTTTCCTTCTCCTCTTCCCCGCATAGTTTTCTTGTCCCTTTCATACGTGCAAGGCTCGCGAGGCTTTTGCTCGTTGTCTTTGAGCGGGCTCATAGCAGCGTAATGTGTACGCCCGGGGGCCGGCCCCTTATCGCGACCTTTCGCAGTGCGCGGGCTAGATCGTCCCGGCGGCGGAGCGAACGTGACCAGAAGATCCTGGTACGGTACGGCGGCCAGCGCGCGCTCGAGATCACGACTCCGCGGCCGGAGCATGCGCCAAAGCGTATCCTGGTCTGCTTCTGAACACGATGGTTGGCCGGCTCCGTTGCACCGATGATGGCGTGTGTAGTACACGGTAGGGGCGGAGCCTCAGTGGCCGGTCGCATCGGCCAAATCGGTCGAAGTGGAATGCGATAGATGCCAGCAGACGCGAGTGTGTATATGCCCGTCCTGCGGATCGACACGTGTAGATCGCATTCACTGTGGCGCGTAAGAAATATATAGAGAACTTGTAGATCAAGCATGACTTCTTTGCGCAAACACGTACACGGACACATTGCACGGAACATTGCGCCCGTGTTGTTTGCCTCTTTTTCTTGTGTCCGTGTACGTGTTTGCGCAAAGAAGTCATGAATGAGTACCAACTCGCCCAACTTTCAGTATTGTAGATCAAGATGTCAAAAGATTCGCTTTTCTTTACAATCAAACGCAATGCCGTGTCCTTACATCGATCGACAACCATTTCGTTTCGATATTTGTGAAAACGGAGCCACTGATTGGCACGTCTGCGTTGTCAGACAGATAAATAACGCTGTCAATAATCAAAGGCGATGCAGATGAATATTAAAAAAGGGTGCAGAGGTAAGTGTTCTAAAAAAAAGCTGCAATGAAGAATGGCGTAGTAATTAGCACACGTGTCCTTAGTTATTTCAGAGCCTTCGAGAGTGTGCACAATTTCAATATCAAGGACAACATGCATTGCTTGTGCACCTGGCATTTCCTGCAGCTTTCGCACTCATAAGTGCGAAGGACAATGCTGATATGTACACTGAGCCTGCAGAATGATTTTAGTCAAAATTTTATAGCGCGATCACTAACGCCAAGTTCTTGAAATGTACTATGTTTTGTCACGTTTTGAGAGAGATAGCGAACCTTTTTTTAAGGAAGCGGAGAGGCCAGCGTCACCTATTTTCAATCTTTTCAAATATAACATGGACATTCGTGTAGCCTGGTTTCAGAAAACATCCAAAATTGAACGATATAACCGTTTACAAAGGTTCAAGCGAGGCTTTCACCGTTTTCCATCACTCGTTCGGAATGGTGTAAAATTTCACCATTTAGAAGAGGCGGTGTAGTTGTTTTACTGTCGTTGTGGCCATGCGAACTTCGAACTCTATAAGAGAGCCCCCCTCCTCCAACCCTCTTCCCCCCCCCCCCAAACATCAACCCTTCGTTTCAAACGCCACCCCTTCAACTATAATATAAGTACATGCTCTTTATGAGGGGGATATAGTGAGGCCGTTGAACGTAGTTCCAGGATAATGTGAGCGGTAGATCCGGCATTCACCTGATGACTATATGCAGAAAACAACCCCCTGATAGATCGGTCAGAATTCCAGGTCCCTGTCCTGTAAGGCATAACGAAAAATGAGAGAACATCGACCATGGCTGTTCGCTGGAAACTACGAGGTGATCGGGCTGTACAATATGCCTTCGCGTCTATCTACGCGATGCGCCGCGATCAAGGTCCTCCTCCCTTCTAGCTTTATACGCCACGAGTCGTCTCCGCTACGAGCCTCGGACCGGCCAACTCCCCTCCCCTTTAACGTCGACGAACAACCTTGGTTGGCTGGCGCGCTATCTAATGCCATAATGAACAGCTGCATCCACGCGACGATTAGCGGAGATTGTTGCGGGGATAATGACGCCGCCTCGTTCCGCCACCACTGGCCTCTGCTCGGCATATCAAAAAATACCGCCCGCCACTCTTTCCTTCTATCACTCTCCACGTACGTGAATTACGCGGTCGTCTGGAACAGATATAAAGCAAAGGGACACAAAATGGTGGTGCATCGGCCTCGCCATTGGTAGGGCGCAGACGATGCGCGTACGTGTGTTCACTGTAGGTACGTTCGTAAGGAACGCCAATCACCGCATGCTTGGGGGAGTCTTATACAGCGCGTCTATGACACGAGGGCAGATATAATGAAAGAAGAAAGCAGACTGTTATAAAATGCCGACGCCTGCATACAAGGCGGTACCACGGCGGCGGCATGGACATCGCTGGAAGCAAACAAAGGAAGAAACATGGTGAAGCAGACGGTAAAGTAAGAAAACAAGCACCGGACGATAAGGCATGCGGACCCAACTTGCGTGCATGCGTAACGATAGAGCGCTAGCTACATGTAAGTGCCGCGATGGATCAGACGGCAGAGGTGAGGAGAGACAAAAAGAAAAGAACAAGAAGGGAGCGACTGCATAGAGAGCAAAACCGAAACCAATCACAAAGATGGAGAGAGATGCAAGCTGCGACGGATGCTGCCGTGAGGGCCGACCGACGCCATCTTGTGTGCGATGAGGAGGAGGCGACGACTGTGCTCCGCGCGGTGTCAGAGGTTAATGCGAGCAGCAACGCTCGCGGGACCCCATCTGAGGTCAGGGGTCGACTCGGCCTTTAGCTCTGTTTTTCCACGGGACCCCCTCTTCCTTCGTTACAGAGCAGAGTTCGGGGTGGCTGATAAGAATTACCTGTCGGAGGGGGTAAAACGGGGGCGATGGGGGCGTTGGCTGCGGGGGAACTCATGAACGACGCAAGCGGGGCAGGGAGCTGCGGGACGTAACCCCGGGGCGAAATAAAGCTAAGGAGATAGAAGCGCGTCGAGGCCTATGCTAGCTGCAACCTAAGCTGTCCGGGTACTAAGGCTCCGAAACAAAACGGTGGGAGAAACCACCGTATCGATGCCTGGATTCTCAAAAAAAAAAAAAAGTTTTCTGTCGGGCTTTTTCTACTGGCGCTCGGTGCGGTTCAGATACTGCGGACGGTGCTTGAGGAGGAGATGGGCGTCGCATGAGAAAAGGCTATTCTGACGCAGTAATTTGGCCACAATTTGGCCAGTCTCTAGGTACAACGTGAGCCAATTATGGTCGCCAGGAACAGGCATACACCCTGCTTGCGGTCAAGCGGTTGCCTTAAGCGCGCGGTGCCCTTTCAAACTTTCTTCGTCTTACAAGATTCCAGCCACCTTTAAAAACAACGTATACTCAAGGCTCTTTTGTTCTGGAGGATCGCGCAACAGATAGCTTCGAGCGTACGTATGCAGGCGTCCACGCCAGAAAAACAGTGTTATCTCTATTGTAGGTGTTAGGGAGATATGCATCTTGCATCTTCAAATTGCCCCATTGAAAGAGAGTGAATTAACGAAGCAGCTAGCTTCCCGATGGAGGCGCCTGTGTTCCCTCTCGCTTATTTTTTCTTAAGATGCCACGATTGTGGTCACCAGAGAAGACAAATCAGCTTTCGACTTGGCACTGAGCAACCATTAACCAGTGGAACACGCTCCCGTTCCGGGCTGGTGCATAGCTCACACAAAAAACATCTTTGAATGCAGTGCAGCCCTCCCGCAATTTACGGAAACACTCCAAAAACATAAATATTTTTTTTATCCTTAACGATCAGTTCATGCCCCTTGGAAGTTCTTTCTCAGCACTTTAATATCGAGGTTTGAATGAGTAAACAGCTGTACAACACTCCAAGTCACACGCAGTGATGTCGAAACAAACGTCTCTCACTGCAAAATCATTCTTTATGTGAACTTAGAGTGCGATGACGACCACGATAGCGCAGCTCTTCTTAGAGCAGCTAGAACGCAATTAGGTGTTTGCTCACTGGTATAATGGGGTAAATACTGATGTCGACGCCACGCGTGAAATGTGCTCTTCTCATCAAGTCCCCTCAAGCTTTAAAGTCTGCTTTCCCACTCAATTTGAACGAGGGGCACAGCAGGGGCTCCCATTCATTTACACCTCTACGCATTGCAATAGGTCCAAGCTCTCTACGACAGCAATAGTTATATTAAATAAGGCATCAGAGTTGAGATCAGCCATCTTCTGTACAGAACACCCATAGAATTTACGAGAAAACGAGCACTTCTACATATGATACTACCAGGTCCTCCCCTGAGCGACTTGAATGCAACAGTTCAAACCCATGATGTGTTTCGTTCTGGAGGGTCTTACGCCATTCGCCAGGAGCGTGCGCCGGCAAAAGTATCTAGTATTCTTGCAATATTGTTCTTGCGAAAAGCTTCAAATGAGCAAAACGTTTTTATAGAGAAAAGAACACTTTTGTAGGAGCCTTGGAAAACAGGACAAGAGCACATGCAAAGCGAATCTGGCAAACACTATTGTTTGCTTGATCTGAAAAGATAGTGAATTTGAAACAGCCATTGGATTCATCTTGCCCAGCTTCAAGATCGTGCCGGTGCTCTCCCAGTTGTCAAAGATATCAGTAACGCTATATTTAAAAAAAAAGTGATCATGCATTCATGGAGATATCCCAGTAGAACAGAAGCTGTTAAACTTACCTTTGAGAACCCAAAGTGGATAAGTGGGACCTCGGGCAGCACGTCATGTTTCCGGAATACTGCAACAAAGAAAACGAAACAATGCATCACGAAGGGCTCGCTGAATGCTAAACACTGTGGTGCGCTTGCAGGTAACCGGAGAGTTTTCAAATTGGATAACTTATTGCTTGAATCATGAAGGCAGAAAAGCGCTCACACCACAAATTGATGTTAACAAGAAAATGTATACTTAATTTATCTCATGTTAACTATAAACAGATTGTCATAAAATGCCTCGAAAAATATACAAATACCATAGGATAATTTGTAAAGAATTAGGTATGTATAATGACAGCCCAGCATTTCCTTCAGCATCACTGAACAAAACTTGAGTGATAAATAAATTTTCTTAATACTAAAAGCCACAGCTGTCAGTGATTATTCATACGACCACCACCTTCCACCTAAAAATAGACGTTCGCAACGGCTCCCTTTCATTCGACATGTATTGTACATCGCATGTTCGCTCCTCGTGCCATGTGAAGAGGCCAATAAGACCACATGCAAGGGAAACGCAATGTTAATAAAATCTCTGTCACCCTATTTCAAATTATCGTAGTTATAAGACAGTCAGCCCACATTTCAAACAACGCAACAAACTCACCTTAACTCCTGGCTCATAAAATGTTTAGTACAAAAGCACTCTACAGGGTCGACGCCCCTTATAGTTCTTGGGATTTGCATTTTACGCTTGCTGTAAGCTTCAGCGGAAAGCATCAGTGAGCTTTACAAGTTCGCTTAAGTTTTTTTTTTCTTTTTTAGGAACAGAGTACAGGTGTAACTAAGCTATGAATTTGCAAGTTTTTGATGCTTATGAGCCGGCACCACTAATCATTTGCTCAGTTAGTTGTAATAATTATCAGCGAGATTGACACGCGGCTTAAACTGTCTCTCAATGCCATTAGTAAAGTGAGATATTTTTGTAAACCCGGATACACATAATCTATTTTCTTCGTTTTCGAAAATCATGGTACGTATTCATCGTTATCGTGTTTTTCGTTTTAGGTGCGGCATTTCCGCTGGAAATTTAAAATTTTGCTCTACAATTACAGTTTGCAAGTGAGCTAGCTCTAGTTATCATTGTAAAAGAAAAAAAAAACAACGACAATGAAGAAAAAATCAGGCACGCCCTGAAGAGGGGAATTACACAAGCCACCGGGTCAACCGCAAGGGACACGCCTCCTTTCAGACACATCGAATGGGCGTTTCCAGGCTGGAATGGGCGGGGCCACACTGTTCAATCCCGAGGGACCGAAGTAAAAACTGCCACACTCAGTGTCTGGTGCCGCAGGAAATGGGGGAATCTGCATTCAGCGCTCCACCATAAAGAAACGCGGGGTCTGCGTGCAAGCCTCCCGTTTTTTCCTCCGTACAAGACGCCGCAGAAAGGACTCGATTTATTGTGGAGAAAGCACTTCCTTTGACCACATTCCACCGGAGCCCTCTTAGTGTTTGATGTTGCAGTTCAAGTGCGAGTGCTGTGCAGTTTTTTGTTTTTTTTAACTAAATCCCATGGGACTGTGATGCCCAACGCCAAAATGACATGGTTGCCTTTGTATATGTTTTTTTTTTCATGGCATGTCTCAAATCCTTGTTCCTACGCTTGCACCTCTCACCTCGCACGACCTTTGTTTGCACTTAGCACGTACACCGCAACAGGCTTCTTCGAGAATTTTACACAAGTACACAAATGCTCCAATTAAGGAGTTCTTTTCAAAATGGGCCCTCTTCTTCAAAATGGGCCGAAATCCTGTACTGAAAGTAGCTCAAATGAGGTTGCATTGGCACATACTTATGCTCTACTTTCCTGCAAAACAGCTGTAATAAATTATTATTAGTTTTTATATTATTATTATTATTATTATTATTATTATTATTATTATTATTATTATTATTATTATTATTATTATTATTATTATTATTCAGAGGAAATTAGGTAGCACGTACGTGCCAATAGAGCCTTATTTGAGCTAATTTCAGTTCTGGATTTGGCCCATTTCGAAAGGAAGCTCCACAATCATTCGTACAACTCTGACGCTTTCAACATGGTCAGCATTCCAAATGTAAACAGCAGCTTAACAGACGGCTATGTTATTACGGCACCTCGGACTCGTAGTCAGCTTGTGTCCCATGCATGCCTCCCTTCCTTCTGGCATTATTCCCGATCGTTACATTGCACTCAGACCTGAAGACTTCATATTATTACCACCAACTAATGAAGCATTAATTAATACCACCAACTTTATCAAACGCTTAACATTCCCAATGTGGGAAAGCGAGTGAGCAGCGAAAACCTAGATATGCCATAAACAAGCACAACGCAAGGTTTCAGAAGAACAACGCATGCTGCTGGAAAAGGAAAGCAGAGTTCCCGCATTCCACGTCTGCAGGAAGCTTTCCTGAGTCTGGCGCAAGAAGCGCTATATTCATCTAGTAAAAGTGCATGAACATTCTTGCAGTGTTATCCATCAGTAATTTACTTGCTCAGGACTACAAGTGTGTAATAGATATTTGTGAAGGCTGTTTATGTATAAATAAGTGGGTTCGTTTCAAACAATCACGGAAAGTGGATTGGCGCAGAAAAATGGAATTTGAAAGAAGCATCACACCTTTGTGACACACAATTTTTTTCTTTCTGTTTGCTTTGGAACAAGTGTATACAGCATAAAAATGTAGCACAAGCTCTTAACCTCGTTCATTCATGTTCGACCCAATTTATCGGTGTCCCGTCGCAGTGCCCACGACCCGAATGATTCTCCGCAACACTGTTTCTCTCATGTATGACTAACATGTATAAATAACGCTGCCCGTATACAGCTATCAGCTCACACACAAACCAGAGCGTTCTCATGGCCCAAGTGCATCGTACGCACACACTTCATGCGAGCGCGGGCAGTGATTGCGGTTCAAGTAGCCCTCAGGCCGGGTCAGCCCTCCGCAGCAGCGAGGTCACCTGCAGCCGGAACTCCTCCGGCACAGACCTTCTCACATCATCTCCTCTCTCGCGCACACACATCGGCGACTATCATTCGCATCTCCGCCATTATTACCTTCTCTTTTTTTTTCTTCGCCCCTGGCGCCCTATGTAGGTGCCCGCATGTGCCCTCTGGCGCTCGGCGCGTAATTAAATAAGCCGCCGCGCTGACGCCCGTCGTGAATATCGGCTCCCTTATACGACCACCGCCTCAGCTCCCTCTCTCTGCACCGACACAGACATTTGTCAGAGCGTTACCCAATCACAAATTCACACTCCGAGGTTCTGGAATCAGATAAAACATGTGAGCTTGTTGCGTTTGTGGTTGAAAATTAATCCACTGGACTTAATTTTAAGCCGATAGCCTTAGACGAACTATCAAACGTGAAAAGTGACCGTCAGCGTTACCAATAATCGTAACATGATGGCGTAGCCTCATGATGTCAACATATTATTACACTTCACCTAAACTTGTCACCTAATCATGGCGTCAGTATGTCCATTGAAGCAGAACAGGGCAAGAAACAGGGTATTGAACAGACAGGACGCAGCACTGTGCCATATTTTTTTTCCAATTTCTACTTATTCTGCGCGTTTATGCCACAAAGTCCATGAACAAGCAAGCCCAACTTGCAACCGGCGTGTCATTGCATGATGACGTCACCAGATGGCATTGTCCCTTGACCTAAGGCGGACTGGTCCAGGAGCAAATGGAAGTCAACGTGAGGTGTAGGAAGCTCTCAGTGTCTTGTCGCTAAGTGTCACGATCATTAAGCTGATGTTTTCATTGTTGAATTTTGTGGTCACTAATAAAAAAAAAACGTGAGAATTTGCTCAACCCGACACAATATTTAGCCTAGAAGCGTGGAAGCATACAGAAACGTAGCTCGATATATAAACGTAGAATTGGCTTCTGTTTCCACGGCAACCCGCATTCAAAGGTGACGGGGGCGTTCGGGTGTGGCAAAGTCATACAGAGCTGCGCCACCATGCAGCTAGCTTTTTAATGCACGCGCTCTGGCAGACGTCGCCTCCGTAATTCCCGCTTGAAAGTGCCTGTAATTGGTCATAAATAAGAAGAGTCTCAACCTTCCTTTCTCTTTGCCATTTTTCCTCGTACGAGAATTAAGCGAGAATATACTTAGCCACAATTGTGGCTATTTTTTATGATTATTTTTCCTTGTCAGCCTCCGAGAAAGGCTATTTCTACTTCCTGAGAACTCACGCCATTACACCAAACCACTATTTTTTCCTTCCTACTAAGTTTAGTAAGCTCTAAACGTATTCGCTACCCGAAAATCACACAATGATTAGGCTTAACTACGTACTCAGCAAACAGCAGACCCAGATGGCTGTCATCTGCAAACTCACTGCAAGACTTGTACAACGTCTACGGCAAGTGCTTGCACATTTTTCGCCGGTAGCACTGTCTTCTGAACAACGTGAAGACCGGGATGCGTATGAGCTTAAAAAGAAAAACCACAGCCTCATTTAGGCTTAGCTGTGACTACGGTATAGTCAGAGAATAACCCTGCGTAAAACGACCCTCTGCTCGTGTTTGCTCTTGCTTTACGCGTATACAAGATCCTTTCATACAGAGTGAAGACAGAGTGCCGCTTGAGCGTGAGTGCAGCGCCAAAAAGTTGCACGCAAAGATCTCGTCAACTACAGCGAGGGTTTAGAGACGTGCTTCGCACACCTAAGAAGAAAACGCGCGCACACGCGTCGCCTCATGCACGCGCTTTGGACGGGTCGTCGGCTGACTCGCGTGCCCGAGTGAGCATACGTTGACAGGTATTGATTCAGAAAAACGGATTGCACAGGCTTCATGCCACCATGCGCGTCGACTGGAGAAAAAAGAAAACACTTAGCAAAGGGAGGGAGCTGGAACGCCTCATGACAAACAGGATGTAAGACAAACCGCATTACATAGCATGGGCACCGCGCTGCTTGTGGCGTACGGCGCGTTATTTGCTATAACGGGCAGTTTCGGTCTCTCTTATTTTCTTCTGTTACCAAACTATAAGCGAAACGTGTGGATTCGAG